GATCTACTGATATGAGTCACAGCACACATAAACATTTCAGACATTTGTAACGAACCTGTGCTCCGTCGCAAGTCACTCACTTCAAACGCTATCAGTTTCACGCGTCTCGCAGCCACGGTTCCTCAGTTTCAGACGACATGTCAAATAACGACGCTGTTATAGAATCTACCGACTGTTGTCAGGTAACCATACAATCAACAAATAAATTCACGCCTGGATTCTTCACAAAATGAGCAAAGAGAAAAGTTCGAATTAACTTCCAAAAATAACTCCCTCGTTGAGGGCAAGGTCGGATTTACGGTGTTCACTGTATTTGTCCATGCGCGAAATTTGTTCCGGGGGAAAATCGAAACAATTTCAAATATAACTTTCATGTCAGAGTTCTATTGATAAACTTAAATCACCCTATAGACATATCATACGCAATTGTATTGATACTAAATTGTGGAATAAAATTGAAGTGTTTGTTAAAATTTCAAAGTACTACTTCGTTTGCCAATCAGCACGCGACAATGCGCTGTTCAAACTATTGAACGAAATTGTGTGGACTGTCGATAAGGCGGGCATTTTTTATTTTAAATATAAATTATAAGTTAAAAAAGAACATAAGAGGCAGAGAAAAAGTAAATATAAGTATTTAACTGTTTTTGTATGGTACTTATGATCTATTTGAATGACACAACTTTGCAAGCAAACAAATCATAATACGCTAGCGCGCACATATGTTGTTTGCTTGCAAAGCTGTGTCATTCAAATAGATCATAAATAGCATACAAAAACAGTTCAATGCTTAATTAATTGCATTCGCAAATGGGTAAATTCATTCCCAAGTTGTTCTCAGTTGTCAGAACAGCATTTGCTATTCAAAGAACTGTTCGAAATAACTAAATAACGCACAACTACTCTATCAAAATGTTAATATGAATAACGAATATTTTAGCAAATATTGTTATGGTCCTGTAGCACACATTTGTATTGCTGACAAACTTACCATGCTTCATTAAGTTCAATAGCAATGTGTGTTATAGGACCATAACAATATTTGCTAAAACATTCATTGCTTAAATGACCTTTGGTGTCAATAAACTGTTAAACCTGATCACACAAATCACCCTTGATCGCTTTCATACAAGATAAAATGAATATCGCGGATAACGATAAAACTGGCTGTCTTTCAATTTTGTGTAGTTCCTATATGTAAGGAGAGGCATCTTTCTGGTGATTAGTAATTTTTATTTTTTTAATGTCCGAAACCAATCAAATGACTAACGGTTAGCATTCGATTACGACATGACATATAAAGGTTGCAAAGAAGATGCCTGTAGAAAGTGGAAATCTTTGATCGACGAAAAACCTGCACATTTGAAAAAAAAAGAATTGTTCAAAGAAAAATAATCGTCAATCAATTTTTACCTTGCATGATGACATCAACATCGCAGAGGAATGTCATTAATTAGAAGGTCTTAAAATCAATCAAGTCACAACATAGTGCCCAAATTCCTTAGTTTCAAGCTCAAGAATCAAGTGAATAATGAAGAAATTAAGTTTCATTAACTTGCTAAAAACAAATACCTTTCTGTGTCCTTCAGTCCGATTATCATGTGTTACGTCTCCATACACATAACGTATATGCTTTATCAGACCGCGTATTTAGGTCGCAAGCCAACTGATACTGAATGTAAATAAACTACATATTGTAAGTCAGCTTTCAAGGTCAAAGATGTATTGTGTGTAATTCTAGAGACATCTCCAGGTTAACCAGTTATCAGTAATATGAAAAGGCAAAGCCTAAAAAGAGCGTAGCGAAGATAAGAACATTATTTTTAAAGTGTGCAAGTCCAGGAATAACAATAAAACACAAGCTCTATAATGTACCGACATAAACATTAGGGGATACTGGGACAAGTTCGGCCCATTTTCATTAAAGTCGTTCTGAGCAGTATGTCATTTGTTTCTGGAAAACACGTCTGTATTAGAAGAATTATTGAACTTTTCCTGTCGGAAGATTAGATAGCCGAATGAGCCCCGCCTTGTGGTAAGTGCGGACAAGCAGTCGTGTAAGTTCGGCCCACGTTGGAATCAGCTTAAATATGACGTCATGAAGCATGCAACGTCAGATGATCCTGCCAATTTCACGACTGTTGATGTGTTGCATGGCTCGGATTTGCACGGTATCATGGGCTGAACCTATCCGGGCCTAGTTTGATTTCTTTGCCGGTTTTTGTGTGTGAATGCCAAAACAACTAAACTGCCAAGATCCTCAAAGATGTACATTTTACCACAAGACCAAAGATATCAAGGGTGACTGAACCTGCCCAGGTCTCCCATGTGTAGACTTTTTGTATCACAGATGACTGGTAAAATATATTCACAATATATTTTTTGCACCAATGACACCATTTTATTCCAGTGAAAACTAAAGTAAATATTGTGGAACTTAAGTGGTGGGTCGGGTGGCGCAGTCTGGATAGCGAGCTCGTCTTAACCAAGATGGCCGGGATTCGATCCCCGTCACCTGCACGACTACGTAGGTTTTCACCGGATACTCCAGTTCCCTACCACATTAAGAATTAAACCCTCTGCGCTTCCGTCAGAGCACAAAAGAAATGATTTAGATTAGTCGGCGTTAAAAAAGTATTCGTTTATTGCTATAAAATAGTTCATATCGTATATTTCACATTGCATTACTTTGATGTAACTGAGATGGTCGTTATATCTATATATATAGATTAAATTCCTGTTCCTAGATCCTGAAACATCGGGTAGAATTTCAAATTTTGTTAGTCACCGAAAGGTGTGACAGATTAGTATGCCAAATAAAACTTAACAATTTCTGTCTATAACTGGTCATATATTGGCACGCGGTGTGAAGACGAAATACGTTGCTGAAAAGGCTGTTAAAACTCGTTTTGATTGTCTGGAAAAGTCATTGTTAATTTCGACATGAATGCATTTGTATTTGTTTCTTTTATGACTGGTGATGTATGAATAAATTATGTAAAAAATATAACAAGACTCCAAAAATGGTAATTATTCAAACAAGTTAAAGTTAAACATCTGTACTCAAAAGCTGATGAAATTTAAGCTGTGAAAAAATAGACATACAAATAGACCCATTGTCATAATGCCGGCTTATTTGAACGTATCTCCCGGTAGAGATATCAACATATGCAGTTTGATGACAAAGTTTTCAGAAGATATCCGCACTGTTACTTTTTGAGCCTGTGCCAAAAACAGATTAAAAAATAAACAATTAGTCCTGATGCACCGCCAAAAAAGATAACGCAACGGACATCAGCTCCAAGATTTTCCGGTTATTTTTCATCCGAAACCAATCAAATGACTAACGGTAAGCATTCGATTACGACATGACATATAAAGGTTGCAAAGAAGATGCCTGTAGAAAGTGGAAATCTTTGATCGACGAAAAACCTGCACATTTGAAAAAAAAAAGAATTGTTCAAAGAAAAATAATCGTCAATCAAGTTTTATCTTGCATGATGACATCAACATCGCAGAGGAATGTCATTAATTAGAAGGTCTTAAAATCAATCAAGTCACAACATAGTGCCCAAATTCCTTAGTTTCAAGCTCAAGAATCAAGTGAATAATGAAGAAATTAAGTTTCATTAACTTGCTAAAAACAAATACCTTTCTGTGTCCTTCAGTCCGATTATCATGTGTTACGTCTCCATACACATAACGTATATGCTTTATCAGACCGCGTATTTAGGTCGCAAGCCAACTGATACTGAATGTAAATAAACTACATATTGTAAGTCAGCTTTCAAGGTCAAAGATGTATTGTGTGTAATTCTAGAGACATCTCCAGGTTAACCAGTTATCAGTAATATGAAAAGGCAAAGCCTAAAAAGAGCGTAGCGAAGATAAGAACATTATTTTTAAAGTGTGCAAGTCCAGGAATAACAATAAAACACAAGCTCTATAATGTACCGACATAAACATTAGGGGATACTGGGACAAGTTCGGCCCATTTTCATTAAAGTCGTTCTGAGCAGTATGTCATTTGTTTCTGGAAAACACGTCTGTATTAGAAGAATTATTGAACTTTTCCTGTCGGAAGATTAGATAGCCGAATGAGCCCCGCCTTGTGGTAAGTGCGGACAAGCAGTCGTGTAAGTTCGGCCCACGTTGGAATCAGCTTAAATATGACGTCATGAAGCATGCAACGTCAGATGATCCTGCCAATTTCACGACTGTTGATGTGTTGCATGGCTCGGATTTGCACGGTATCATGGGCTGAACCTATCCGGGCCTAGTTTGATTTCTTTGCCGGTTTTTGTGTGTGAATGCCAAAACAACTAAACTGCCAAGATCCTCAAAGATGTACATTTTACCACAAGACCAAAGATATCAAGGGTGACTGAACCTGCCCAGGTCTCCCATGTGTAGACTTTTTGTATCACAGATGACTGGTAAAATATATTCACAATATATTTTTTGCACCAATGACACCATTTTATTCCAGTGAAAACTAAAGTAAATATTGTGGAACTTAAGTGGTGGGTCGGGTGGCGCAGTCTGGATAGCGAGCTCGTCTTAACCAAGATGGCCGGGATTCGATCCCCGTCACCTGCACGACTACGTAGGTTTTCACCGGATACTCCAGTTCCCTACCACATTAAGAATTAAACCCTCTGCGCTTCCGTCAGAGCACAAAAGAAATGATTTAGATTAGTCGGCGTTAAAAAAGTATTCGTTTATTGCTATAAAATAGTTCATATCGTATATTTCACATTGCATTACTTTGATGTAACTGAGATGGTCGTTATATCTATATATATAGATTAAATTCCTGTTCCTAGATCCTGAAACATCGGGTAGAATTTCAAATTTTGTTAGTCACCGAAAGGTGTGACAGATTAGTATGCCAAATAAAACTTAACAATTTCTGTCTATAACTGGTCATATATTGGCACGCGGTGTGAAGACGAAATACGTTGCTGAAAAGGCTGTTAAAACTCGTTTTGATTGTCTGGAAAAGTCATTGTTAATTTCGACATGAATGCATTTGTATTTGTTTCTTTTATGACTGGTGATGTATGAATAAATTATGTAAAAAATATAACAAGACTCCAAAAATGGTAATTATTCAAACAAGTTAAAGTTAAACATCTGTACTCAAAAGCTGATGAAATTTAAGCTGTGAAAAAATAGACATACAAATAGACCCATTGTCATAATGCCGGCTTATTTGAACGTATCTCCCGGTAGAGATATCAACATATGCAGTTTGATGACAAAGTTTTCAGAAGATATCCGCACTGTTACTTTTTGAGCCTGTGCCAAAAACAGATTAAAAAATAAACAATTAGTCCTGATGCACCGCCAAAAAAGATAACGCAACGGACATCAGCTCCAAGATTTTCCGGTTATTTTTCATCCGAAACCAATCAAATGACTAACGGTAAGCATTCGATTACGACATGACATATAAAGGTTGCAAAGAAGATGCCTGTAGAAAGTGGAAATCTTTGATCGACGAAAAACCTGCACATTTGAAAAAAAAAAGAATTGTTCAAAGAAAAATAATCGTCAATCAAGTTTTATCTTGCATGATGACATCAACATCGCAGAGGAATGTCATTAATTAGAAGGTCTTAAAATCAATCAAGTCACAACATAGTGCCCAAATTCCTTAGTTTCAAGCTCAAGAATCAAGTGAATAATGAAGAAATTAAGTTTCATTAACTTGCTAAAAACAAATACCTTTCTGTGTCCTTCAGTCCGATTATCATGTGTTACGTCTCCATACACATAACGTATATGCTTTATCAGACCGCGTATTTAGGTCGCAAGCCAACTGATACTGAATGTAAATAAACTACATATTGTAAGTCAGCTTTCAAGGTCAAAGATGTATTGTGTGTAATTCTAGAGACATCTCCAGGTTAACCAGTTATCAGTAATATGAAAAGGCAAAGCCTAAAAAGAGCGTAGCGAAGATAAGAACATTATTTTTAAAGTGTGCAAGTCCAGGAATAACAATAAAACACAAGCTCTATAATGTACCGACATAAACATTAGGGGATACTGGGACAAGTTCGGCCCATTTTCATTAAAGTCGTTCTGAGCAGTATGTCATTTGTTTCTGGAAAACACGTCTGTATTAGAAGAATTATTGAACTTTTCCTGTCGGAAGATTAGATAGCCGAATGAGCCCCGCCTTGTGGTAAGTGCGGACAAGCAGTCGTGTAAGTTCGGCCCACGTTGGAATCAGCTTAAATATGACGTCATGAAGCATGCAACGTCAGATGATCCTGCCAATTTCACGACTGTTGATGTGTTGCATGGCTCGGATTTGCACGGTATCATGGGCTGAACCTATCCGGGCCTAGTTTGATTTCTTTGCCGGTTTTTGTGTGTGAATGCCAAAACAACTAAACTGCCAAGATCCTCAAAGATGTACATTTTACCACAAGACCAAAGATATCAAGGGTGACTGAACCTGCCCAGGTCTCCCATGTGTAGACTTTTTGTATCACAGATGACTGGTAAAATATATTCACAATATATTTTTTGCACCAATGACACCATTTTATTCCAGTGAAAACTAAAGTAAATATTGTGGAACTTAAGTGGTGGGTCGGGTGGCGCAGTCTGGATAGCGAGCTCGTCTTAACCAAGATGGC